ATGTGTATGTATTGTTTTTGACAGACCATAAAGTGTGGCACTAGTTGTTTTCACAGGTCTCTCAGTTCTTTAAATTGTCACAGACTCCAGCAGATGTTTTGTTCTCTAGGTTTGTGTTAAGTGATGAGCAGAAGAGGCTGTTTGAGAAGCTGTCGATATACTGTGACCGCTACGCAGAGCTCATTCCTGTCTCCTTTGTGCTGGGTGAGTTTTTTCTCTGTCAAATTTTAAAGCTAAACCGAACATGAGCAAACCATCACTTTGCAGGCAGCCATTAATTCCTTTTTTTTTTTTTAAATACTTTATCCAGGCTTCTATGTGACCTTGGTCGTGTCCCGTTGGTGGGGCCAGTTTGAAAACGTCCCCTGGCCAGACCGCCTGACAGCATTAGTGGGTGGTCATGTTCGTGGAGCCGATGAGGCCTCCAGGCTGACCCGCCGGACTCTGATGCGATACGCCAACCTGTCTGGTGTACTCATCTACCGCTCTGTCAGCACAGCCGTCTACAAGAGGTTTCCCACCATGCAGCACCTGGTGCAGGCAGGTACGACTTGCTGATGAAACCACTGAAACTCACTGCTCAATTCCCCCCTAGTCTCATCACAACACAACCACATCACAAAGCTGCTGGTCCTGTTCGCACAGAGTCTTGAAGCCACTGAGGTGGTGCCTTTGGACCAGTGTGGCACAGGCTCAGAATCTGGCTACATCCACACTATTATTGAATAAAACCCATCACTGCTGTGATGTTTACGCTTATGGACCACACCACTCTGGACCCATTTTAGTTTGAAAACTCTGGGGCTGTATCGTAGTCTGGCAAAAATGTAGATCTTCAGAAGCTAAACCCTTATTGTCAGTAACAGATTCACCTTGTCGTCGGTCCAAGAAAATAAAACCCTCATCTTACTTTTCATCACTCTTGTTGGAAGTATTTTCTGTAACTAAGGGACCAACTGCAGAGTCGACGATCTGCTTTCTGTTTACAATGGAATGCATATGTGTTGGACGGTGATCGACACAGTTTTAAAACACAAGCATATAGATGTAGCCTCAGTATCTACCTCTAATGAGGTTGAACTGTCTGTGCTACAAATTAAAATAGTGGTGCAACAGAGGGGAACAAGAACTGAGGCCAAACCAACATCTTTTATGTTTTCTCTGTTGATATCATTTTGGCCGTCTTTATCTCCACCCTGCGTTTGTCTTTCAGGATTGATGACACCCGAGGAGCTGAGGCACCTGGAGGACTTGCCCTCTCCTCATAACAAGTTCTGGGTTCCCTGTATGTGGTTCGTCAGTCTGGCTCTGAGAGCTCGGTCTGAGGGTCGCATCAACAACGACGTGGCGCTCACAGCCATCCTCACTGTAGGTGTCCGTGTCAATCTTTCCACAGGCCTTATGAGAAAATCTTGACTCGGAAACATTTGTCTTTAAATCCCTTCTGTATGTCCTGTTTTCTCCTCTGTGCAGGAGCTGAATAGTTTACGGGCAAAGTGTATGAAGCTGTACGGATACGACTGGATCAGCCTGCCTCTCGTGTATACTCAGGTTCTGTTGATACTGTGTGCTGAAACTAAACAAAAAGCTTTAGTAGTTTTCATTGTGCAATGATTATGTACCAGAACAATAAATGACACTGCCAATGATTGTGATGCAGAGCCAGAAATAGGCCACTGTTTCTGTTACACAATATGATTGTGTTCTTACATAGTTCTTACATCATTTTGTACATTGAATTTGTTTAATCAAAATTAGAA